AGAGTAATAGAGATGGGATGGTGTTTAATATGCAAGATCATATACTTACAAACAGGGTAATTTTCAATACTGGTGGTTGATTCAGGACTTCAGAAATATTGATTTGATTAAATGCATGGTATGGAGAGGATACACCCTGGGTTTGTTGCTGTTCCAGCCTTATTATATATTTTCCATCTGTGTGGAAAATACCACTGGAAGTATTTGTAAATCTTACTGTCTGGCTTTGGACATAGTTCCAGGTAGATGAATTTAAATGCAAGTGATACAGAGGAAGACTTCGTCATTAATTGCATTTAATGAGAGTGATGGCATTAAGTGGTTCTGTATTCATTTCACCAAGCTCTGCATGGACTGAAGGCTTGGGTTAACTCTGATGCAGTAAATCTATATCTTCATGTTTTTAGTTTGATTGAAATTGCACGCACAGTTCAGCCTTAAAATTTTTTAAAAATATCTTGACCAAACTGCATAAAACTGCTTGAAACATTTTGTTCTTGGTTGATCAAAATAGTAACATCAAAGGGAGCCCCATGGATAAGATTTGACTGAAGCCTGGTGTTCTTTAGGTAAATCTCCTCTATTTCTATTTCATTTGTTTCGAAGAGTAAGTTCTTTTCTAGACTTTTTTTTTTTTTTTTTTTTTTTTCTCAGAGTTTAAGGAACCCTTCTCCAGTTTCCATAACATTTCTCATGGGCAAAAGAATTCCTGCAGATTAATTAGTAGGAGCAAGAAAGTGCACTGCTGTTACAGCCTATTCCATTCCAGGATCTGATTTAGGCTGTCCCATCCATGGAATTAGTTAGCAAGCAGAATGGGATAACTTAGTTATGTTGATATAGTGATAAAATTAATTGATTTCAAGCCAGAAGAAACATGTACCTTTTAAAATCAATAATCAGTCTTATTAATACAATTTTTTGTTTGTGGCCCAGCTGTAAAATTGTGTAGAGAATGTATCATGTATAGTTTCTATCCCGAAAAAAATATTTCCTCTAAGTTTGTGGAGAAACACACTGAGGCATAACAGTTGGGCTTATTTTATACACACAATACTATAGTTGCAAATTGCAGCTATTAGGAAAGCAATTAATGTTCAAATCTATCCTAATAGCCTGTTGTAGTCATGGCTGGAAAGTAGTGCCTGATTTGTAGCAGATTTTACCCAAACTGTTGGGACTCATTTATCTGCTAATGTCAAATGAAAATTTCGGGAGAATATCACTACTTTTCTGGAACAGAAAATAAAAAGGTACTAAGGAGGAAAACAGACAGACGCTTTGGAACAAACAGGAAGTGTTTAGGCTTGAATTTTAATGAAACAGCACAGTTAGGAAAATAAACCTCTGTCCATAGTTTAGAAAGTAGATTGTTAATAGTGACTAGAAAATGGATGTACTGGGGAAAAATTACGAATATGAAGTGAAAATGCATCTCCTCTGGATCAAAACTTTCTTCCAAAGAAACTTCTTCTCACAAAAAAGCTAGGTGTGTCACTTCTGCTTTGTTTCTGACATGCTTGTTTACTTTGGTTCATTTTCTAATCGGCGTAGGCAGGCAAAAGCTCCTGTGGAAATTTATAGAGATTGTAAGATTACATTAATAACTGACTCTTGAGCGGGTTTTAAGTGAATACATACTCTACATACTCCAGCTCTCTGCTGCAGACATAACACTATAAAATAGATCATGTTCAACTCACCCACTTCAGATTGTGCACCAAAATATTGTAACTGAGTCTACAGTGAAGTGTGCACACTCTTTTATTGACTCCTGAAAAATCGATGGAGATAACTTTCTAAGATGTAACGTATGTATGTGTGCGTATGTACACACACACGCACATTGAGTAATATTTTTCCTCTAGTAACATACCTTGCTGAAACTCCTGTTGGCATGTTTTGTTCTAGCAAGTATGCTATGCCAGAGGAATTAAACTGTATTATTGATATACCTGTGCTAGTCTTTACCAGTAAAAGAAACCATATGAATGAAGTTGCTCTTCTATGTGAACAGACACAACTAAGATAGCTCTAAATATATTCCAAGCACATGGCATACATGTGACAGATGAGCTCAATATACAAATGGAGTTGGTGTTGTTTTCCGGGAAATTGTGAAAAGCTTTTATTTATCAACCATATCAATTTAAGGGGTTAAACTGCAAAAGTAAATACATTAAAATTTGTTGTTTTCTCCAAGAAACTAAAAAGAGTAGAAAATTGGCAAACTTGGAATCCATGCCTGAATTTGGATTTCAAAGCCATTTCTATCCTTGAATCTTGTACATGAATTCAGAGGGTTGTTAAAATGGTATTATGATTTTTAAAACCACTTGAACGCTTAGAATTGAACGACTATGTAAGATTAGAGATTTGTTTGTTTTATGTTTTCTGCTGCTGTTTCTCCTTTGATATGTTAAATAAGGATTATCTGACATAACAGGAATAATTCTGAAAAGATAAAAGGTCATACACATGAATTTCCCTTGATAAGATGAGTAAACTCATTTAATGCTTATTAAAATCAAAATAGAAGTTTATTCCAAATGTAAAATTTTCTCAGCTGGGTATGATTTACGTTTATGTACTAGCCTGTTCGCTCATTAAGTAACAATGTATGATAATATGTTTAAACACATAACTTTTAGTAACAGCAGGAAATTGGATGCAACCCATAGAATGATACTATTGAAATTGATTGAAACTTGGGTGGAGATGATCATGATGGCAAGTATGATTACCTGAGTAGTAGCAATAGTTTCCTGTGGATTTTTGTTGTGTATAAGCTTTGATGTATGATTGACACCATAAATTCTAATTAAAGCTGTTTCCATGATTTAGACTTTTCTTGTCTGTGTGTCCCTAGTAAGTTATACCCTAGTTATGAGCCTGCCTCTGTTCAGTAATCTATCTTAATGAAACGTTTAAGAACATGTTTGTCTTTCATCACGTATTTAAAATCTGTTTAGAGTTGGTCAGTATATTCAAAATAGGTGATATCAAGGACAGACTGCAGCAGTATAATCAGATAAGCAATGTTGAAGATTATTTACATGAACAGAAGGTAATGGAGAGTATGAGGTTTCTGATGAGATTCTGTAAGGATCTATTCTTGGATCATTGTTTTTAGGATAAATGTAGCATGACTTTTAATCTTTTTTCGAATCAGCATAAAACAAGATCAGCATAAAACATCAGAAATAATTGGGAATACCCAAGTGCAAAGATCGTAATCTTATAAAACTCCTAAAGAGATTAGAAACATGCACAAAAACAGAGGTATGAGAAGATAAAAATGTAGATATTTTGCAGAGCCTTAGGAGGCAATAGTTTAAGCAGGACAAATAATGCACCTTGTTTGTGATGTTATGACCACAAATAGGTCTGACTTATTTTTAGCTTGGAAACGTGAGTGCTATGAGTAAGCTAGGAGCAGCCTCTTCTTATGAAGTTCAAGTGCAACTGCAAAATGAGGGGGGGGATGACCAACCAACAACAACTTTTTTTTTCCTTCTCACATGCTTCTTGGTAACTTTCCTGAGTTGTAGCTCGTCCCTTTCAAACCATGGCTTTGAATTTGGTGGGGGTGGGGTGTGTTAATTTGTGTTTGATGTCCAGTTGGACATAATTTTGAAAATCTATTTGAAAAACCTCCTTTGCATATGCAAATTCAATTTCATGGTTCAGCTCTGTGGAAGCAAATTTTTATGTGTGCTGTGTCCTTCTTGCTGCTTCTCTGGAAGAATGAAACGGTAAAGGAGATGATAGCCTGGCTAGGCTGGGAAGAGAAGAGCGAGTGCAATGAATGGAGTGGAGAACAGAAGTCTGATGGAGAGGAGATCTCATGAGCAAAGATGAGATGTGGAATCTGGCCAGTACAGAGGAAATGGAGGGAAAAATGTTTAAATACAAAGAGGAGGAGAGGGCTAGATGCAGAAGATTGGAGATTTTGGAGGAGCCGAGGAGTTGGGGGCAAATTGGCGAATGTAAATAATGGGAGAGTGATTAGGAGGCAGCTGGTACAGTTAGAAGAAATGGAATGCATCAGGAGGGGAGCAGATATGCTGGTGATGAGTGGGTCACTGAAGTGGTGGCTGCTCGCAGGATGGCATCAGAAGGGGAAGAATCTGGGACACAGGGACTGAAGGGAGGAAAGTGTCTAAAATACGGGTACACAGGCATATTTTACAGGTAGGAGCAGAGCTAGGCAGGTGGGCCAGGAACAGAAGACAGCTGCGTTTGCTCTGTCACTGGGCTGTGAGGCTTAGTAAAACTGGAAATTGCTCAGCTTTAGAGGTCTTAAGGGTCTATGCTTCCCTGCTGTCTGGAAAAAAGTGTGAAGGTGCTGTCAAGGGGTGAGGCTCTGCTTGACTTCTGTGCTGCGTGGTCCATACAAAATAGCTGAGTGCTGTTGAGTCAAGTGATAGAGGTTTTTGCTGTGGCTGCAGCTGCTCAAACCTTGCCAAGCTGGCAGGCTGTGTGGCTCCACGCAGCAACATCTGCTTGAAAGACTTAATAACTTTAATTTAAATAACTTTTGCATGTGTGAACGGACTTTTCTTTTTGTTTGTTTATTATTCTTTTAACATTTTTAGTGTAATTTTTATCAGTAAAAAATTAAAAAGTCATGCAAGAAAGTTCATCCAGCTGGCTAGCAACAAAAGACTTGAACCTCTCATGCCAGTTTCATGTATCCTTTTACTTCCCTGAAGTCTCTCCAGATTCACACTGAACCTGAGAACAGGCAAATGAGAATCAAAATAGTGACATACGATGTTGTTACTGTATTCTAAAGTGCTATTTCATGTCATTCATATGGCTGTTTTGCCTGAGTAAGGCCCATATTTTAGGGCTTGAAAGACTGCTCACAAGTGTTTACACATTGCTTGCGTGTGCATGTATGTGCCTGTGAGGTTTTTCATTTTAATTGACGGAACTCTTAAATGGAAAATATCCTAAATTTTGCATGTTTTACTGCCTTTATGAGTAGCTTAGTGCAGTTACGTAACTAACAACTTTAACGAAGTTTGTAACAGTTTCTTTTGTGAAAAGATTATGGTGGTGATAATGGGTGGATTCTGTAAAGTGTGAATATGTCAGTATATTTACTTTAAATGAAAAATGTCTCTTCTTTGTTGTGTTTAGTCCAAAGTGAAGACTAAATGGAAAAAGTTCTCTCCTGTGTTCTTATTATGTATAGCTTTTCTTTTTCTCTACCACAAATTCTTCTCCTCTATCCTTTTCATACTACTTCTTGTTCTATCATAGAAATATCATTGTATGCCAAAGAATTACTCAAAAGGTTTTTTGTAAAGTACAATAATGATTGCTTAATACGCTTCTCTTTTCATCTCTGTGGTTAGAATTTATCTTCAAAAATGGTATAATACAGCATTATATGGGAAGAAGCAGGCAAGGGAAGTTTCTCATATTTCCTACAAAGAAAGAATAAAGTGAAATCCAAGGACATGTTTAACAGTGATCTTTCAATATTCATGGAATTAATTTATTTTTCATTTCTTATGCACAATGGAGTTATAAAATTGGTTGTTTGCACAGGTGGTTGAAGTTTGAAGAAGATGTAGAGGATGGTGGAGAGAGGTGGAGCAAACCATATGTTGCCACGCTGTCACTTCATAGCTTGTTTGAGCTGAGAAGCTGTATCCTGAATGGCACAGTTCTTTTGGACATGAGAGCTAACTCCATAGAAGAAATTGCAGGTATGTATTGTTGTTCCGTTTGTTAGTTATGAAAATGAATCATAAAAATCAAGTGCTTACAAGAAAGCTATTGCATATAATCAGTTCAGTTTAGAAACTCCTAGGAAATATTTTACTCAATATATTAGAAAAGAATCTAACGTAAATATTTTATTTCTATTTTTTTTATAGACGTTGCTATTTTCAGAATCCATTTTTATGTAAAGGAGAAAATGAAAATGGAGCAGACAGGACAGTTTGGATGTATTTCATTAGAACTGGCACGTTCTCTGTTCCTGCTGTGCCACCTCACATTGTGAATGATGCGCGTGCTAACTTCCACAAACTGAATCTACTACTATGCTAATTGCAGACAATCTAGCTTAAAAAAAATTTAAATTATAGGGAAGTATTCATCTGAATTACATAACATGAAAACACACCATGTAAACACATGTTTAAAAAACATGTCTCTGAGTTGAGAATGAAATCAAGAACAATAATGTTAAGTATAAGTTTTTCGAAAATTTTAAGATGCATTAACTTCTTTAACTAAAGTTGAGTGCATTTTTTCCATTTGGCAGTTGAAATTCTAGAGCTTTTGAGAACAGCAGAAGCAGAAACCAAGAGAACATAATAGATGAGTCTTGTCTCCTAAAAGTATAAGTGAGATTGAGACTGAATGCCATTTTCTGCATTCCTGGTGTTTCCCATAAAGACTATAACTAGTTACTGCAGGTGACTTTTTTTTTTTGGTAGTGCATTTGTTACTGTAATAAAGCAGGTTGTTAGGGGCTGTATGTACAGACCTGTAATGCACGGCCTCAAGGAGTCCTAAAACTACAAAGGTTGCATGGCCGTGCTAGAATCATGCAGTACAGTCTGGTATGTTTATTTCCCTTCCCAAATACAGCAGCTATTTTGAATTAGATCATTTATAAATAAATTTGTTAGTAGACAAGAACTGAAGATAAAGTAAGTTTCTTTAGTCTATCAAGCCAGGGATAATGTAGGTATTATAATATAAATATATTTACATTAGACTTTAAACTCATCATTAAAATGATAACACCCTGCCTAAGGGCTCATGTGCCCTAGAAAGTTTCTAGTGCTGTGTCCTTGCTCTTGCTTGTTGTTTAAAAATCTCTGTCCCTTCCAGCAGAGAAAAGACAGAACAAAGAGCTGTACTATTTTATAGTCTGGGGTCTCTAATGTTCTGTTTATCTACCCTTAGTAAGGGCTAGTCTCATGCTCATGGTTATTGGACTGGTATCCTTGCATATCTTACATCTACTTAAAAGTTTTACCTTGCTTCTCCCTGTCATGGGTTGACCTTGGCTGGATACCAGTTGCCCACCAAGCCGCCCTATCGCTCCCCTCCTCAGCAGGACAGGGGCAGAAAATAAGATGGAAAAAACCCTCGTGGGTCAAGATAAAGGCAGTTTAATAAAGCAAAAGCAAAGGCTGTGCGCGGAAGCAAAGGAAAACAAAAGATTTATTCTCTACTTCCCATCAGCAGGCGGTGTCCGGCCGCTTCCCAGGAAGTAGGGCTTCGGTATGCGTAGCTGTTGTTCCAGAAGACAAATGTTGTAATAACAAATGCCCCCCCCCCTTTCTGTTAGCTTTTATTGCTGAGCAGACGTCATATGGCATGGAATATCCCTTTGGTGAGTTTGGGTCAGCTGTCCTTTTTATGTCCCCTCCCAAGATCTTGCCCACCCCCAGCCTACTGGTGAGGGGGGAATGTTGGAGAGACAGCCTTGGTGCTGTGCGAGCACTGCTCAGCGGTAGCCAAAACACTGGTGTGTTATCAACACCTTTCTAGCTACCAATACTAGCCAATTCTAGCTACCAATTCTAGCTACCAGAACCAATACTACCAAAGCACAGCACTGTGAGGGCTGCTGTGGGGAAGATTAAGTCCATCTCAGCCAGACCCAATATACTACCTTACTGTATTTCACAACATTTCTGAAAATAGTGCTGTATCTGTAAATCATACATTTGATATTGTATACAAATTAATCAATATATTGCTATTTTATACAAATACCGTATTAGATTTATGTATTCTCCATACTGCAAACTTTGCTTGAAGATCAAACATGATGCAACAGATGTAAATTGGGAAAAGAGCACATGCACAGGGTGAATGAGTCGTTGTTGGGGCCTTTTTGTTGCCTTGTCACAGGGCGCAAAGTAGCACGTTAACAGAAAATGTAAAATACACAAATAAAAATAGAAAATTTTTGTTTAGGGAAAGGTACAAAAGACAGCAAGAAAATTTTCTAACACTCAAGATTATAAAGAAAAACTGCTTTATGGGTGATATGTAAGTGTATATAAGGACCAGATAAAATTTATTTTAGTTATTTACATTATCAGGTAAGGGAGGTGTTGTTCAGTGGACTATATTTAACAGTGGAATTAACGGTGGCGCAGCTAGTGGTAGCTGCTTTTTGCATTTACCTTTCCCAAATTGTTTATGTCAAACTGACGCAAGGTATTATTAATCCAAATCTGCAGAAACTTGCGTGGGGTTCTACTCTGTGCTGAGATCTGATGCTCCCATGAATCATGGTCTGAATCAGAGCTTCAAAATTTGTCTTGATAATGATAGAAGATAAACATGAAGAATAAAAAGCAGCTGATTTGAAAGAACGAAGGTGTTTATCAGTATGCTGCTTTATTATTTATTTCATGAAAAAAATCAAGAAGTACTTAGATCAGCTGTTTGATGTTCTTTTATTGCTTTTTTGCTTAAGTAATATACTAGGATTTTCAAGCTTGAGCTTTACATTTTTAATCCAAAAATCACTCAACAACTTCTGTAGTCAACTAAGAGATCCTCTCCAAAATTGTTTTTAATTAAGTAGGTAAAAAAGTAAGAATTAACACAATAAAACAGCAAACTTCCTTTTTTTCTGTTTTTGGAGGATATTGTATAGTGAGACCACAATGAATTCATGTTTATAATGTCTTAATCCTTAGTTGTAGTCACTTTGTTTGTTTAGTTAACATATTCAGCTTCACAATACTAATTTTGTTTTGAAACTCATCACAGATGTAAGTTGTCCTTCAGCAGAGAATTTGATGAGTTACTGTACTGCTATTTGAATCAGTCCTGCTTCTGGGCTATCTTGATTTGTTGATTAGGAAAACTTGTTTCTTCTGAGACGAGGCGTTAGGATGACTTTCATGAATTGGCATGTACCATTTTAATTTTAAAAGTACCTGTTGTGGCAAATGTGGATGTATTTCATTTGTTGTTTTATTTGTTCGAACTGGTAGGCATCTCTTTCTGATAAGGTGATCTGACACATGATAAGATTTGCATGGGCCTTGCTTTGTCTTTGAGAGAGGATTTTTTTTTTTCCCTCTGCCAGTTCAGTAGGCAATGAGGTAATTTTTTTTTTTTTTTTTTTTTAAAAACAACTTTGCAGCAGGTTCTTCTGGCAAGTGAATCATTCTGTAAATTACCCACATTCTGTGTCAGGTTTCTTTGAGGAGATTTTTTTTTTCCCCCCTATAAATAAAGTTGCCATTCCATTTGCTTTCCTCTATTATTATTATTATTTGTGTTGTAGTAATGTTGTTTTCCTCTTCCTCAATCAAGTTCCTTTGTAATTTGGTACTCTAATACTACATGTACTACAGGTAGTTCCTGCTCTCCCGTGCTTACAAAATGTTAGTGTGTGGCACACATTAGGCAGCACTGGGGGGAGGAAAGACTTTAATAGTAGTGGTGACAAGCACGCCACCAAGGTACGTGTGCTAGGTATGTTAGAAACTTGATAATTCCAAATAATATGAGAGACTACTCTTTTTCCGTATAAATGACTGCTGGACCTGAAAATTAGACAGAACTTGTATCTCTCAGGAAATCCTTTCTTGTGTGTTCTACTCAGTTGCTATTCACTGTTAGTAGTTACAATCCTACTTATGATATGCTATACAATGCAAACATTATTTTCACCCTGGAGTTGGTATGTATTCCGGTTGTATCTGACAGTCCTGACACTTTAGAATGTAAAGAAATGGTTGCTCTTACCTGCTGGCTTCAATTTTTTTCAATATTTAACACTCTTCTTATTTTGCTTGCTAGCCATTTTCATGCTAGGCTAGTCCAGTGATCCTGGTGGTCACTTTTGGTCGGTCTTTTCAATGCTACTGTATATACCACATGTAGGAGAATTTGCAAAAATAGATTGTACCCTGTGGTCTTAAGTGATACTCCTAAATTAACTTGTACTTCTGATTCATAGTTTATTACTATGGGTTTTGTTTTTTAATGCAGTCTGTTGATAATTTTACTACATTACTATCGTGCATCCTATCTTTTGAGAACAAATAAACTAATTGTGCACATGTACTTTCTTTTTACTTGCCTTATCACTTTGTTAGGGAGAAATGTGTGTTGTGTATTTGTTGGTAATGTCTTGCTATCTGAGCTATATTCCAATATCAAATTATATTTCTGTAAATGCAGTGCCAGTCTTCGTATCCTTGAGAGAGGTATACTTAATCTTCGTTGTTAAATTGAGACAAAGAATTCCTATCTGTTTTAGTCAAGGCTTTTAATCTATAAACACTTATTCACTAAGGCATTAAACTCTCAGCACTTAGCCCTTGAAAATTTCTTTTATTAAAGTTTATGTTTTAAGACCTTAATGGGCTTGTGGTAAAATCTACAGATGAAAAACATCTTCTATACTGTTTGCATGGCTTTCAGAACTCTGATAGATCTGTGTAAAAATATTTTGGCACCAGTCATGCGCTGAGAATTTTTAAATCATCCTGTCTTCCAGCATGTCCATTCTTTATTAGATTCTTTTTCATTCCAACTCTGTCTTACTAAAAAATGACCTGATCTACAAGACTGTAAATTCCTTTGGACAGGCACCCAATTTTCTTTGTTGATAAAGAGCTTGTTTGTATCTATGGTGCTGAATTCACAGACAATATCTTATTATAATAGAGACTTCTGAGGTGAATTTCCAACATTGTCATCATGCAGCAAG